CTGAGCTGGCAGTCAGCACAGAGCCCGATGCGGGGCCCGAACCCACGAACTGCGAGATCATGACCTAAGGGAAAGTCGGACGCTTAACCGACTAAGCCACCCAGGCGCCCCGTCTGCAACTTAACTCTTAAATTTCATAAAAATTTGTCTTCAGTTCTCTAGATCCTTCATCTGTCTATCAAATTGCAGCTTGAGGCAGGAATTGATAGGTCTCTCTCCTAAAGAGTAAGGAAAAATTCTCATATAATTCTTATCACAGGGCCCATGATTCCCTTCTAATTTCAAAAGTTCTGATCTCTGTAGACTTCTTAATGATAACATGAATGTAAAGGAGTTTTGAAGGGGGAAAAAAAGCAGACAAATCAGCCTGTGAGAAAGTGTTTGCGGAATGGCATTAATGAAAAGTGATAATGTCAGGGCGTGCCTGGGTGGCATAGTTGGTTGAGCATCTGACTTCATCTCACATCATGATCTCATAGTTTGTGGGATTGAACCCCACATCAGGTTCTGTGTTGACAGCCAGGAGCCTGCTTCATATTGTTTATCTCCCTCGCTCTCTGCCCCTCCCCTACTTGGACTCTGTCACCCTCTCTCTTTCAAAAATAAATAAACATTTAAAAATTTTTAATTAAAAAGTGATAACGTCAGATACAACTAAGATATTTTAATTTTTAAATCCACCTTCTACAACATGTAAATCACTGAGAATGAATTTGTGATTTTTCAGTCCAGTAGTTGACTTTCTAATAATGTGTCACTTGTAATAAGATATTTCCCTAAAATAAAAATATACTTCCCTAATATTTTAATGAATTAAATATAGCAAAAGTTAGAAGGAGGAAGTTCAGGGAAGATTGTTAAAGAAATATACTGTATTGATATGTTTGTTTTTGTAAGAACTCTATTAGTTCAAAGGAGAAATCCTATTTGTACCTCAACCCTAAGAAGCCTTAGAACTGATAAATGATGTGCCAAAGACCAGTTAGAGCTTTGCAAATAAACTGGAGAAATAGTGCCATTCATTGCATAGTGCTGCGTAGACAGCTCACTCTGAAATAGGAAAAGGTTAGGGATTTTGAGCACTCTTGTGGATTTCTGATCTATAGCAGAGATCCTCTTTAGCATGGTATCAGGAGGTGTCACTTGATTACTTTCTCACCTGCTTCTAGGGAATTTGTCCCAGTTTCCTTGAGGGTAAGAAGACTAATAAAAAGAAAAGCAATTACCATTAGAGAAAAATCTAATCAATAACTAGATCACTGTGTCAGCTGTGGAACAAGAGGAAGAAAGAGAAGCCAGAATGAGGATTCTAGAAGTCAAGAAGCAAAGTGAATGCAGCAGTCTGCTGGTAATTTGGTGATCTTGCAGGAATTTCAATAGACGTGTGAAGGCAGAAGCTGTATTGCAGTGGGTTGAGAGATAAATGGAGTGTGAAAAATGGAGCCATATATATATGCCCTCCTTTCAAGAAGATGATGGTAAGAGAATGATGGGGTAGTAGCTAAAGCATTGTATTGAGTAAATTTGAGTATGTTCCTTCAGGGAGAAGAAGCAGGAAGAAAGAGATAATAAACATACAAGTGCAATGAGGATAAAAATTGCTTCTTTGAAGGTATAATTCTCCTCTTTTCCTTCACTCTACCTTCAGTGTCAAATGTGGGTGTTACCTGCTTCATGTTCCTACCACTGCCACATGTCTGGACCTTCTTATATAGGTTGTGCAAATTGGATAAGAAAACTCAAACGAGGATGAGGGATTAGTGTTTTGTTTGCATGAATGAAAGAAATGAAAAAGGAGACTAGAAGAAGGCCATACGCATGGGGAAAACTGAAAGAATATTGGTAAAGAGAGGAAGCTAAGGAAGAAAGTTTAAAATACAGTGTAGTATGGGTGAAAGAGAAGGAGACTTTGAGAAATATTACCGTGGATTTTATGTCCTTACAAATTATCTGATGGGTACAAGTAAAGAGGGGAATTACTCCACATTTTTAGCACTGGACTCTAGGACACGGAATGTATGAGCCATGTCACTGAGCTAAGTCTCTGGTAAGTTCCAGTTACTAAGGCAATATAACAGCCCCAAACTTAGTGGTATAAAATAGTCAAAAGTCCACTAAGGTTTTGTGGAAACTGTATTGCTGAAAAAAGTATGAGCTCAGAATAAAAAGTCTTTGACTATTACATCTTTAAAACAATCTTTGAGTCCCTGAGCTCATACTAGCTCAAAATGGGCTGTACGGTTTTCTAGGAGGTTATAGTATTGAAGTCTATTTTGGATCTAGCCATCGTAGATGATAGTCAAGAAAGAACTTCCTAAAGGGAAGATCCAGAGGCCATGAAGAATCACGAGTATAGGAGAGCTCACAGTACTGACTCCACCGTTGTCCCTTTATCTTACTTGTTTTCCCTGGATGACCTTTCTTGGGGCTACATGTTCGTGGCCCCATGGAGATTAATATATGTACCTTAGAAGTGCCCACCAAGGCTGGGATGGAGGGGGCCTTGCTTTGGTTTTCCATGAATCTATTAGAGATAACATGGGCTTTCCACTTCTGGAAACAGATGTGGTACCATGAGATCTAATTAAAGGTTCACTGTCAGGTGCATGCAAACCCCTGACCGCACTACATTTGCTCTTCTGCATGTTCACTCCCTTTATAAACTCTGAGGACTAAGATCTGGACTTTGTAGGCCTTTGAGAATAACTGCAGCTGCTGTGGTTTGCCCTCCATCAGATCTTCCCTCGATAAGTTACCCTGAATAAAACTCTGTGTATACTGTATGGAGTCACCTGCTTTGTTTTCCTGTCTCCAAGTGACTTCTCAGTTTGGGGGACACTTTACTGTTCTTCCCCCAACTTCTCACAATGGGCAAGGGAGTTCCTTACAGAATGTAGAATCTAGTTTGAATCAAGGGAAATACACTAAGTCACAAGACAGCTCACAAGTATTGTGGGATTTTGTTTACTGCTATGAACCAGAGACCACTGCATGCTTTCCATACTTCACTTTTCTTTTCTGGATAAGAGTTTTATTAAAGTTATTCTGTCTCTGATAACCATTACATTTTGTGGTAGGGGCATGAAGTGGCAGAATGTCTGTCTTACTAGTTGAAAGGCAACCACCAAGCAGGAAAAATAATACTGGACTGGAAAGTGCAGAAGCAATAAAATTTTAATGAGTCAGGTCACTAAAATTTTAGAATGTATTTTGCTCAGCAGCTAATGTTAATTTAATATAAGGAGTATGGTAGATACATGAAGAAATCATTGGTCTGTTTCAGTGATTGGTTTGGTTTTCCACCTAATGGTTTTAGCTTTTGATTAGATATCAGGCCAAAAAGACAACAGTGTCTTTTTATTTTTATAAAGTTAATACAAAAATTACTTAGATTTCTGGGTTTGCAAGATTTATTTACTACAGTAAATAATGATGCAATTTATGTTGTTAAATTCACGAATTCATATATTTAACATGAATACTTAATGACTTAATTTGTTAAATTTTATGGAACTTGAGTATGTGAACTTTTTAGGTTTCAAGCAGTGTTTCCAAGCACAGAAAGAAGAAAATGCTCAGTCATAACAAATGAGTGTTCATTCTAGAAACAAATCCCATTCTGTTATTAGTAGCATCGTTCTGACTCATTTACCACGATCCATATTGATTTTTATCGATCCCTTTAGCTGCCTTCCTGGAAACTCTAATGTCCCATCTCTGTGCTTTTTCACGTTTACCTCACTGGTGCCAGATGTATGCAAGCCAGATGCCTCACATACAGGAAGAGCCGAACTGATATTTAGGAAACTGAACTTAAATTTGAAAACTAGGAAATTACAAGTGATACAGGAGAAGTCAAAAGATCCTTTAGGTATTTCTTTGTCCTAGTAACATCAGTTTTCTTGCTTTCCTGGAAAAGCTATTTTATAATTGAAAAGATATTTTTGCCGAAGCTTCATTTGAAACTTCATTTCATCTCATTAATCCCTCGGAAGTTTTTAGTTTTATAATTCAATATTCACAAGAGCATGGATATTGAACCATGATGAAAGCTTTCAACTGGCTTTTAATTGTATAAAGATCTTGTAGGTGAATAAAAGTTATTTGATCTTAAAACTTTTTTAAATCATTAAAATCATTGAAAACATTAAGGTCATGTTTTGTCTTCTTAAGCCATTTTGGGATCGTTTCTAGTCCTCATTCTTCAAGGTAACCATTAACAATCCCATTGAACACAACAGGGAGCCAAGGTTAAGATGATTTATTCCATGCCGTTTTGCAGTTGTGGCAAGGCTACAGCTCTCCACTGCCTCCCACTCTCTGGCCTAACAGCTGTATTAACTCACTGGTGTCATTTAGTGCATTGGAGGGTGATTTGCTTTTCTCAGCATGCCTAGTGCATTAGCAGATGCCCTTTAGGCCTTAAAATGTTATAGTATGCTTGCTGGTACCTGACTTCCTGCGAGTGACAGGTGCTAGAACAGAACAGCACACCCCTCCGTATTCCATGGCCCAGCCTCTGACTGACCTACTCTGTATTTTCTTTCACCCAAGCCTTCTCATGTCTTAAAAAAATTTAGTTACCATTGGAGAGTGGTTTCACTAGGTCACCTGCCTAGTGGTATCCCAAAACAAACTCTCTGTCTCTCCTTTACACCAGCTGAAATAGGATCTTCTGCTGGGAAGCTTCATCTTCCCTTAGAAGGCAAAGGCATGACATAATTGGCCATCCCAAGGCCATTGCTATAGACTAAATGTTTGTGTCCTTCCCAGGTTCCTATGTTGAAGCTCTAATCCCCATTGTGGTGGTATTTGGAGGTGGGGCTGTTGAGAGGTAATTAAGGATTCAGATGAGGCCATGGGAGTAGAGCCCCTGTGATAGGTTTGGTGTCCTTATAAAGGAATGAAGGGACCAGAGCTTGCAGTCTCTCTGCCTTGTGAGGACATAATGAGATTCCATCGGGTAACTTCTATTAGCATTGTTACCAGTTTCAGGCTACTATAGTTTCCCCCTGAACGGTATTTTGCCATGAAAATAAAGTAACTGAGAGAGCCCCTATGGCAAGAAATACTTGGTAAGGAGTTAAGTGGGGGCAGCTCCCTATTTTCAACGACAATTTGGGGGGGGAAACCCAAAAGCTTTTGAAATTTTCAGATCCATAGTGTTTGGTCCAAGAAATCTGGACTATGGCCCGAAAATACAAATATTTCAAAAGCATCCCATGTGATTCTGATCAGCCACCCCAAAACTGAGGTATAAGAACTTGTGTGTGTGTGTCTATGTGTGTGTGTTCCAAGTATTACCAGTTTGGTATAAATAACTTGCATGCTTTATACCATGCTCACAGAAAAACATATTTATACTTGTTTAGAGTTGTTTCGTAATATTTTTTTAAATGTAATGTTTTAAAGTAGTCTAACTTTTCCTATTCCTGTTAAGTTATAATATTTTCTTAAGGACTCACCCTTTAGCATACTTATATACACATACATACAGGCTTCTCAGTATCAGCATTATTGATGTTGTGGGCCAGATAATTCCATGTTTGGGGTGGCTGTCCTGTGCACTGTAGGCTATTTAGTGATATCCCTGGCCTCTACCCACTAGATGCCAGTAGAACTCAGGCCCCTGTTTTGACAGTCAAAAGTATCTCCAGATACTGCCCAATGTCCTTTGGGAAACAAAATCACTCCTGGTTGAGAACTACTGATATGGAATAATCTATTCAACCATTCCTCTATCAATGGCAATTCGGGCTATTTTCAAGACTTTTTCTTCTCCCACTCTGCAATAAAAAGCCCCATATATGTATCTTTAAGCAACATTGTTTCTGCTTTTTAAAGGGGAGATGCCCACAAATGAGATTACTGCAAAACTGATAGGCGTTGTCAGATTACTTTCCTAGGAGTCTGCAGCAATCACATTCCCAACACAGTGTCTGAAAGGGTCCCTCCACCAGCCCCAGCTCTGGATATTGACCGTCTTTTTTTTTTTTCTTTCCTATTTACTAGTCAGATGCATAAAACATGATGTTCCAATGTTGATTTGATTTTTAGTTTTTCCTGACCCTTAGTGAGCACATTGTCACTTATTGGTCCTTCGCTTTTCACGTTCATGAAACCTATCAAGTCCTTTGACTATTTTTATGGGTTGTCTGTGTTTTTTATTTTCATCACTTTGTTGGAACTCTTTTGTTAGGGATATTCTTTTTTTTTTTTTAAGTTTATTTATTTATTTTGAGAGAGAGAGGGAGAGCATGAGCAGGGGAAGGGCAGGGAGAGAGAGAAAAGGAGAAAGAATCCCAAGGAGTCTCCACACTGTCAGTGAGGAGAGCCTGATTCGGGGCTCAAACTCAAAACTGAGAGATCATTCCCTGAGCCCAAACCAACAGTAGGGCATTTAACTGACTGAGCCATCCAGGGAGATTAGTTATTTTCCATAAATATTAGAAATGGCTGGTTTGGCTGGTTTTTTATTTGTTTATTTCAGTCAATAATTTGTCTTTTGGATTTGTTTTTTGATGCAATTTTTTGTTCCATTTTCCATTTACTGTAAGGAAAGTAAAAGGTGGAAGTGACTTGCTCAAAATAGCACCTTCAGTTCAAGGTAGAGCAGGGACAGTACAAGGATCTCCACTCAGGATTTTCTCCTTACCCAGAGCTGCTCTCAGGGAGCTGTTTGCCCATTCTCCTCTCGTCCCTCCCCCTCCATCTGTGCATGTTTATAGCAACTAGTAGAATCAATCTGAAAACACAGAGCAGCCAAAGTATAATAGAATATCATAACACAGAGAAACAGTCCACGTGCCCTGAGCACATAATAACCTTCCTAGGTTGCCCTTTAATAGTAGTCCAAACACCTAAGCAGTACCTGGGGAGAGATCGTTCCCCCTCCCTGCTCAGCGGCAGGGTACCAGAGATAGAGCAGATGGGGCATTCCTGGCTGGGTGTTCTGACAGCAGACATTCAGGAAGGAGGTATACAGAGAGCCTGAGCAAGACAGCCAAGAGACTAATATGTTCAGATGGCATAATGCCTTTTCACAAACTGCTGGGCCGTTTATCTGTGGCAGACGGAAGCTTTTAGAAGCACTGCCTGCCACCTTAAGCATCGTATCATTTTGAAATCCATTCCCTGTAAGAGAATGAATATATTAGGAAAACATTCCCTAAGATATCGAGACATTGAGCCTGATCATTGCAACACGCACGTTTTGCGACCCTGTTTAATATATCCTTGCAGCTGGATACCCAGAGAAATGCAGTCTGGTGACCGGGAATCTGTGTGTCTAACAACGCGTTGGGAAAACTGGAATTCAGATGGCCCATCTCTGTGGTGTCACTCCATTAGGCTTCAGGATGGCTGTGGGGAAGCCAATCACAGCATTAATGCTTGTTGGTGCCCAACCGTTATAAACATGTGTCGATGCAAAATGAATACCCGATACTGCGAAATGTTAGCTTAGATGAGATGTGCTTTTTAGAAATTTGTGTGGATGATTAAGGCAGTAATTTTCAACCAGGATGGTGGGAGGTGGGTGGAGAAGGAATTTTAAAACTACCCCTGTTGCCCAGGATTCACCCTGATACACCCTTTTGCGAGGCCTCCCATCCACCCCCACCTACGGTGACATTGAGGTAAGCTACATACAGTTGGAAACGGTGGTGTAGCTCAGGTGAGTGGGCATGGGAAAAGATTGATAACTACTGGTCTAAAAATTCAAAGATATTTCTTCAAGTGGGAATCAGCCCAGCAAATTCTCTCTCTCTCCTTCTCTCTCCCTCCCCTCTCTCTTTCCTTCTCTCTCTCTGTTTTTCTCTCTGCTTGTCTCTCTCTCTCTCTCACCAGCACTGCTATTAAAAGGAGGCTGTAGGTGGTACTATGCTAGGTGCACTGGAGTGTACAAATGAAGGTTTTTTTTTTTACCATGTACTTTGAGTCAACTTCCAGCCAGCAAACCTTAGTAAGCCCAGCACGGTACCATTCACAATATAAGTAATTATGGAGGCTCTGTTAGGTGGGAGGTCGTGTGCTGAAATGGGTAAGGTAGGATCCCTGCCCTGTGGAGGCTTACAGTCTAGCAGAGGCACTTAGCCAAGGACATAAAGAGTAACCAGGCAAAGCTGACTCTACAGCCGTACCTCCCACAGAAACTTCTGTGGAAACACAGAAGTAGTGATGAAGCTGTAACAAAGAAAAGATTCTTATAGACTGCTAAATCCAAAAGAGATGAAGAGAAATCTATGGCAGAAGAGTAAAGCAAGACCTCAAAGTGATAGCAGTGCACAGATACCTGGGGACAGGAAGGTGGGCAGGAAGGTGAGAGATCTGACGGCTGGAGCTGGGGTTGAGGAGAACGCTTTACCAAGTGCACAGGGAGGAGAGGGTGGACTTGGTCCTGCCAGGGATGAAACTGCACCCAAGGCTATTAGCAGAAAGTAGGAACTCTAGACAGTGTTGCCTCAGTGACAACGAGCAATTCACATTTCCATTCACTCACAGAAAAGAGAATGGATTATGTGTTTTTCTAGGACTTTCAGAGGAAGAAAAAGATCCCTGCAAAACTATATCAGTTGTGTGTCTCTAAAAACAAAACTTGAGGTGCCTGGGTGTTTCAGTCAGTTAAGCACCCAACTTCAGCTCAGATCATGATCTTGTGGTTCATGAGTTCAAGCCCCACATCAGGCTCTGTGCTGACAGCTCAGAGCCTGGAGCCTGCTTCAGGTTCTGTGTCTCCTTCTCTGTCTGCCCCTCCCCTGCTGATTGTCCGTCTGCTCTCTCAAAAATAAACAAACATGAAAAAAATAAAAACCATATTTCTAGGTAGGGGAACCCCTTTGTAGCACTCAGCAGAATCAGAGCAAAAACTACTAAGTGTAAATACGTTCACAATTTATAGTAAATTCGACTCATAAAGAAAAAAAAAGGTGAACTCCTAAACCAAAACTACAAACTACACAAAATAGTGGTCCATCAAAAGTGAGCCTCAGGAGAAACAGATCAGAGGATCATAGCCCCCAAGAACCTGAGATAAAGAACATTTGGAAGGAAACCATTTCAGAGAAGGGAGAGATGAGATGGTAGCTTGGGATGATCAGGGAAGAGCTGAGCTTGGAGAAGGGGTGATTGCGGTGGGCAGAGTTAAAAAAAGAACATTTGTCCAGTTGAGAGATTCAAGTGAAATCTGGAAGACTTAAGGCATGTTCAATGATGACAACTAAATGATGAGGGAGAAATAGTGTTCTCATATTTAGCAAACAAAAATGCAGAATACCCAGATACCTTTGAATTTCAGATAAACAATTTTTTAGTATAAATATAAAATACTTGGAACATACTTACTCTAACATTCAATGTTGAACTGAGATCCAACCTTAACCAGATGTTCTGCATATTAACCTGGCAGCCTAAGTAGAAAGCACCTTGACAAGTTTTAAGCATCGGGATTCAGACATCCAAGTTCTATTTGAGGGTGTTACTCGTGTGTAGAGCATAGGGAGGGACCCCATGAATTGCACGCATTGAAGAATACAAGAGGAAGGGGTGACACTGTGGTAGGGTCCCCTCCCTGAGGAAAGAAAAAAACCTCAAGGCAACCTGGCTATATGCATAGATGACATCCCTCACAACCTTGTAACATGAGACCACTTAATCAGACTACATGTTTGTATGTTACATGTAGGGAGACAAAGACACATTACATATATGGGAGACAAAGAAGTAAAACACATATTAAAAACTATACCCCATGGCATTCAGGGCTCAGTTCTTTGGGTACAAACCCAACTGAGCGGTGCTCGCAGGAATAAAGTTGCTTCCTGGAAAGAAAAGCCTTGGCATCACATCCCTCTGTGCAAGAATCCTGCTACAGCACCACAACAGTGATTTGCTTGGACCAACTGGGGAAGCAAATAATATTATCAAAACACAGATCAAGAATGGAAACCACAACAAAGAGATAAGGACTTGGAAAAGGCAGTTTGCTTTTGGAGATGGGAAAGATAATGGTAACTTTTGAGAAATTAATCAGTGATAACTGCCAGTAGGAAGCCAAATCACAGGTATTTCAAGAATGAGAGAAGGAAAGGCTCGTCCTTTCCTGTCGTCCTAAGGCTAAGAGATGTATGTATTTGGAAAGCTTAAAATAAAAATAAATAAAGATGATATCTAGGAGAGGCTGGAGATGTTCCTAGAAAAAGCAGAAGGCCCTACAGAGGGCAAGATGGAGGACGGCCCTGGGGAGGTGGGACTGGATGAGGCAGGTGGTGAGTGAAGGGCACAGGTGGCTAAGCACTTCTGTTAGAGAACAGCCATCCCGACACTTGCTTTCAGCCCCACTTACAAAAAAAAAAAGTTTCAGTGACGCATAATAGGCATACAATAAACTGAACCTATTTAAAGCATATCATTTGATACATGATAATATATGTCACAGCTGTGACCACCTGTTGGGAGCCGTTTCTGAACTCATAAGTTGAGAAAAAACTCCTTGTGAGGTTAAGGTAAGTTGCATGGGCTTTTACCGTCAGATAGTGACTGATATCCACCCCCACCCAATTGTTTCTGCTTGAGCACCGACCCCCAAGGCGTCTTGTTGATCGGTATTCAGTGTGACTTATTCAGACCTTGATATGCTGACTGCACCCTGTGAAGGAACCTATTGTAGGAACTTCTTTTGTGATTATGAGAGCAAACATTTGTGATTCCTGAAAAACCTGTTTTTCTTAATACTTCCCCTTAAGCAAACAGGCTATTGACCCCTGCTCGAAAAGAACTAACTTTGCCTTTTTTATGCTAAAAACATTGTCTTGCATGCTAAAGATACCTTCCTTCCCCATAGGATAAGCATCTAAATCCTCTACCTCAATCACTATTGATAAAGGTTATGCATAAGTCTTCTACAAATCTATGTTCTGGGAAATTCTTATGTATCAAAGAAATTTGTCATCAGAAATCATTGTCTAAGGCAAATGCCACTTCTGTGCCATCCCTCAAACACTTAATGATAAAATAAAGTTGAGACCTCGTCATAGCAGAGATGCCTGCCTGGTGATCAGAAAGATTCCCATAGCTCTCTCACTCTCTCTCTGTCACCGACTATCCTTCAGGGACCCCTGGACCAGTCAGAGCGGGCCTCCGGCAACCACAAGTAAAGATCAAATATGTCATCCACCAAAGTTTTCTTGTGCCCCTTTGTAATCACTCTCTCCTGCCTCCATCCCCAGGTAACTTCTCATCTCCTTTGTATCACCATAAAGTGATATAAATTGTATTGCATTTTTAAAATTGTATATAAATGGAATTATACAGTATTTACACCTTTCTCTAATCTCCCTTATTTCACTCAGAATAATTATCTTAAGATTTATATATATTATAATGTTTTCCAATAGTCTATTCCTTTTATTTCTGGGTGCTATTAGATTGTTTGGACATGCTGAAGTTTGATTATCCATTCACCTCTTGATGGATATTTTTATTCTCGAATTTTGCTTTTACAAGTAAAGCTGCTATACACATTCGTGTACAAGTCTTTGCATGGCATGTACTTTCATTTCCATAAATAAATACTGGGGCACCTGGGTGGCTTAGTTGGTTAAGTGTCTGACTTTGGCTCAGGACGTGATCTCATACTTTATGGGTTCAAGCCCTGCATTGGGCTCTGTGCTGACAGCTCAGAGCCTGGAGCCTGCTTCAGAATCTGTGTGTGTGTGTGTGTGTCTCTCTCTCTCTGCCCCTCCCCTGTTTGCCATCTGTGTGTGGATCTCCCACACTCAAAAATAAATAAGTGCCAAAGAGGGGAATAACTAGATCATATGATGTGTGTAATTAAAAAAAAAAAGCCAAGTACAAACAGACCCCTGGAAAGATGCTCAACATCACTCATCATCAGAGAAATGCAAATCAAAACCACAATGAGATAACATCTTACACCTGCCAGAATGGCTAAAATCAAAGGATAAGAAATAAAAGGTGTTGGCGAGGATGCAGATTAAAAGGAGGCTTTGCCTTCTTTGGGGGATAAATTTCTTCTTTAGTAAAGTCTTCTTAAATCTTTTCCCCCGTCTTTTTCTGTTTCTTTTTTTCTTTTCTTTTCTTTTCTTTTCTTTTCTTTTCTTTTCTTTTCTTTTCTTTTCTTTTCTTCTCTCTCTCTTTTTTTTTTTAGAGAGACAGAGAGAGACAGAGAAAGGGAAACGGGGCTCATGCTCACTAATCACCATGAGATCATGACCTGAGCTAAAGTCAAATGCTTAACTGACTGAGCTACAGAGGCACCCAAATCTTTTGCCCTTAAAAAAACGACTGAGTTCTTTGCTTTCTTACTGAATTTTGAAAATTCTTTGTCTATTCTAGATACAAGTTCCTCATGATATGTATGATTATAAAATATGTTCCTACCAGTTTGTCTTTGCTTTTTCATTCTCTTAACAGTACATCCTAAAAACCTAAGTTTTTAATTTTGATGAACCCCAATTTATCTATTTCTTCTTTTATGAATCAGATTTTTGGTGTCATATCTAAGAAAACTTTGTCTGACCCAAGGTGACAAAAGATTTCTCCTATGTTTCTTCAAGAATATTTATAACTTTTGGGCCACCTGGATGGCTCAGTTGTTTAACTGTCTGACTTCAGCTCAGGTCATGATCTCGTGGTTCATGGATTCGAGCCCTGTATCGGGCTCTTTGCTGACAGCTCACAGCCTGGAGCCTGCTTCAGATTCTGTCTCTGTATCCCCTGATTGTTCTCTCTCTTCTCAAAAATAAAATCAACATTAAACAAATTAAAGAAAAGAAAATTTACAACTTTAGGTTTTACACTTAGGTCTGTGATCCATTTTGTGTTGTTATATCTGGTATAAGATATGGATTCAAGTTCATCTTTTTGCATATAGATAACCAATCGTTCTGGTACCAGTCTGTCAGCTTTTGTAGGCAATCTTCACTGATTTGCCTCTATGCCTTTTTCTAGGGTGTTTTCCATATTTGGGTAAGTCTATTTCCAGGCTCCATTACATTTATTTGTCTATCTTGACACCAATTCTACACTGTCTTGAATATCATAGCTTTATAATAAGCCTTATAATCCAGTAGTGTACTCAAACTTTGGATAGTCTATACATAGATAATTACATAGATACTCTGTGATTATGTCCTCAGTGATAAAGGCAGATGTCCTTCTGTATTAATCCGAGTGCATTTTATTTCTTTATTTTGTTTTCTTTTTCATTCACTGGCTAGAATCTTCAGTGCACTGTTGAACAGAAGTGGTTAGAATTGACCTGTTCCTCATCTTAGGTGGAAAACATTCATTGAGTATGATGTGAGCTGTACGTTTTTCATAGATGTCCTTTATATGGAGTTAAGCAAGTTCCCTTCTAATCCTAGTTTTCTGAAAGCTATTTTTCTGAATAGATGGTAGATTTTGTTAAATGCCTTTGTTTGGGTGAATGGAAATAATCAAATGGTTTTGTTTTTAGTTTGTTAACGTGATGAATTAATTGATTGATTTTAAAATGATAAACCCATCTTGCATTATTTTTGTTTTGTTTTGTTTTTTAATATAATTTATTGTCAAATGGCTTCCTTATAACATCCGGTGCTCATCCCAACAAGTGCCCTCCTCAATGCCCATCACCCACTTTCCCTTCTCCCACACCCCCCATCAACCCTCAGTTTGTTCTCTGTATTTAAGGATCTCTTGTGGTTTGCCTCCCTCCCTCTTTGTAACTTTTTTCCCCCTTTCCCTCCCCCAGGGTCTTCCGTTAAATTTCTCAAGATCCACATAATCAGTGAAAACATATGGTATCTTTTTCTGACTGACTTCTTTCACTTAGCATAATACCCTCCAGTTCCATCCACATGGCTGCAAATGGCAAGATTTCGTTCTCATTGCCAAGTAGTATTCCATTGTGTATATAATTTTTTTAATGTTTTATTTATTTCTGAGAAAGAGAGAGACAGCATGAGCAAGGGAGGGTCAGAGAGAGAGAGGGAGACACAGAATCTGACACAGGCTCCAGTCTCTGAGATAGCTGTCAGCACAGAGCCTGATGCGGGTCTCGAACCCACGAACTGTGAAATCATGACCTGAACTGAAGTCGGACGCCTAACTGACTGAGCCACCCAGGAGCCCCTCCATTATGTATATAAACCACATCTTCTTGATCCATTCATCAACTGATGGACATTTAGGCTCTTTCCATGTTTTGGCTATTGTTGAGAGTGTTGCTATGAACACTGGGGTACATGTGCCCCTATGCATCAGTACTCCCGTATCCCTTGGGTAAATTCCTAGCAGTGCTATTGCTGGGTCATAGGGGAGTTCTTTTTTTAATTTTTTGAGGAACCACCACACTCTTTTCCAGAGTGGCTGAACCAGTTTGCATTCCCACCAACAGTGCAGGAGGGTTCCTATTTCTTCACATCCTTACCAACATCTGTTGTTCCCTGAGTGGTTCATTCCCCGTTCACCACCAGGCATGAGGTGGTATCTCAGTGTGGCTTTGATTAGTATTTCCCTGATGGTGAGTGACATTGAGCATCGTTTCATGTGTCTGTTGGCCATCTGGATGTCTTCTTTGGAAAAGTGCCATCTTGTATTCCTACAATAAACTCTACGTGGTCATAATATATATTCTTTCTAATATATTATTGTGTAATTTCATTTATATTACCCATAGCTCTTCTTAACTTTCTGAACATCTGAAACAGAGCTTTAAGAACTCTTTGCATTTTCTTGTCTATTAATTTCCGCATCAGGGAGTATTGAGCTTTGCTCTGGGATGCTGTTAATTTCTTAGAAATAATTTGATCTTTTTGGATGCTGCCTTAAGATCTGCTAGGTGGGAGTAGTCCAGTGCTCATCTAGGATTAATTATCCTTTGATACGGAGGCAGGATCGCCTGTCTGCCCCCCAGCCTCCCATGAGACTTTCCATCTGGCTGGTGGGAACAGACATTGCTTCCTGTGGCGTGTAAGCCGCAGGTGCTCTTACCTCTAACCCTCTCAGGTGGCCCTTACCCTGGCCTCAGGTGGTGTCTTACCCACACCTGGTGCTTAGTGCGCTGCTGAATACCTGAGGGATTTCCTCTGCAGGTGTCTGTAGTTTTTCTGGTGCTCTTTCCTGCAAAATGTAGCCACATTGGGCTCCCTGAGCTCAGAGCAATGAGTCCTCAGTTCAGGGAAATCTGCCAGTGTCACCTGCTGTTCCCTGCCCTGCATGACAGCTTAGCAACTCTTCAGGCAGCCAGCTGGAGACGGCGCTTGCCGTGCTTGTTTTTGTCTCCCAGGATCCCTGTCCTTCATGGCCTAATATTCAGTGCCTTGAAAACTGTTTTCTTCATATATTTTGTCTGGGTTTTTGTTGTTGTTTCAGAAGGGAAGGTAAATCCAATTCCTGTTATGCCTTCTTGGCTGGAAGTAGAAGTCCACAGCACTTTTTTTTTTTTTTTTTGAGAGAGAAACAGAGAGAGAGAAAGAAAGAGCATAAGGGAGGGGCAGGAAGAGTGGGGGATAGCGGATCCAAAGCGGGCTCTGTGCTGGCAGCAGACAGCCCATTGTGGGGTTTGGACTCAGGAACCGTGAGATCATGACCTGAGCCAAAGTCCAGAGCTTAACTCTCTGAGCCACCCAGGCACCCCCATAGCATTTTTTTAAAGGATGGTAAATTATTTTTTAAATACCATCTGGAGACATGTGGGTGGCTCGCTTGGTTAGGTGTCTGACTCTTGGTTTTGGCTCAGGTCATGATCTCAGAGTTGGTGAGTTTAAACTCTGAAATGGGCTCCACTCGGGCCGTGTGTGACTCTCTCCTTTTCTCTCTGTCCCTCCCCTGCTCATACTTTCTCTAAAATATAAATACATAAACTTTAAAAACATTTAAATAAATTAAGTATTATCCGGACTATTGGTTAATTGAGCAATGTAGAGATAACCCAAAACAGGCGATATATCTTTATTTATGAAATCGTGTCAGTAGAGTAACCATATTATGTTGCTAAGGTCTTGTTGCAGCACAGGTGAAAGTTCCTTCTGTTGATCACACCTTAAATCAGGATTTGTTTCCCTTTAGCATCTAATTATCATGACCCACACGTTTATGTTTCAGTCACACTCTTGAATATGGATGCACATTGGTGACACAAAAATTTAGTAGGTTGTGGGTATTTGCAAAGCTTCCCGATGATTCCAGTGATTGGCCTGGCTGAACAAATCAGTACAGTGCA